GCCATTCACTCGGTAGGGAGAGCCATTCACTCTGTAGGGAGAGCTATTCACTCGGTAGGGAGAGCCATTCAATCGGCAGGGAGAACCATTCACTCGTTAGGGAGAGCCGTTCACTCGTTAGGGAGAGCCGTTCACTCAGTAGGGAGAGCCATTCCTTCAGTAGGGAGAGCAACTTACTCATTAGGGAGAACCATTCACTCGGTAAGGAGAACCATTCACTCAGTAGGGAGAACCATTCACTCGATAGGGAGAGCCATTCACTCAGTAGGGAGAACCATTCACTCGTTAGGGGGAGCCGTTCACTCAGTAGGGAGAGCCATTCACTCAGTAGGGAGAGCCATTCCTTCGGTAGGGAGAGCCACTCACTCAGTAGGGAGAACCATTCACTCGGTAAGGAGAACCATTCACTTGGTAAGGAGAACCATTCACTCAGAAGGGAGAACCATTCACTCGGTAGGGAGAGCCGTTCACTCAGTAGGGAGAGCCACTCACTCGGTAGGGAGAGCTACTCACTCGGTAGGGAAAGCCACTCACTCGGTAAGGAGAACCATTTACTCAGTAGGGAGATCTATTCCCTCGGTAGGGAGAACCATTCACTCGGTATGGGGAGCCATTCACTCGATAGGGAGAGCCATGTGTCCCAGGTGACGTCAGACAGTTATTGGACAACAGCGTGCAAAACATCAGATATCGCATGTAATACAAACAACGAAATTTACCTAAAGATCCTAATTGATGTAGTAACCTTTGCATATAAAACGTATACAGATATATAGCAACAGACCACATACTGAGTGTGAGCTTTTCGTATAACAAAAACAGCGAGATTTAGCAACAAACCTCTATTTCAAAATAAATTAAATAACAAAAGTGCTGATCCTGCAGATTTTCAATCTGTAAGATTAACACCTCACGGATGAGAATCAAACACTTAACATTAAATATCCAGGAACGTATAGCCGTATACAAAATAAAAGTACAGGACCATTTCTCACGCCTTTTATGCGTATTGGGCATATAGGGCTCGACATATGTAAAGTTAAAATTGAGGCACCACAAAACGGTTACGAAGTAAACTAGCTGAGTGCTAGTGGATGAACGTTCTGGGCCTGTAATTTATCCACATCTTCCTATATAGCAGGATAGTGAGATTTAGCAACCAATCTTGTATTTATTCTTCAACCTGAACAATTACATTTTGCAATGCATCCTGTATTAATTGTGTAACCTCCGCATGTTAGATAGCAAAAATGTATCCATTAGATCCTAAATTGATATTGTAATCTTCATATTATATAACAACACAACAGCGATTTATCAACAAAACAAGTATTGATTGTCTATTTCTAACCTGAACAGTAAACGTTTAGCAGCAAATTATACTTGCTGTCACACTGGGTTACCGTCGTGTACTGTGTTCACACTGCTAACTTATCATGTATTTAGGACAGATTTAATCTTGCACACTTGATACGTCATTTGATGGCGCTTTGGGCTAACCGCTGTACAGGATAAATTTAGGTCATTCCGGATGTAAATACATTTGTCTCTCCCCTTCTGTACCCTGACCTAAACTTGCATGCCTTCTTCTTTTTCTTCTTCTTCTTCTTTTTTTTCTTCTTCTTCTTCTTCTTCTTCTTCTTCTTCTTCTTCTTCTTCTTCTTCTTCTTCTTCTTCTTCTTCTTCTTCTTCTTCTAGTCCCACAATAAAAGTGCGTCTTTCTTATACATCGTCTTAAGCTTCATTAGTTTTGAATTGGAAGTATAGGCTGCCGGCGTGATGCTGACCACATCACTCATCAGATGGCAATTATTGTATACAATATGTTTAGTACCATGTCCTTAATGCACTAGCGGTTTTAGGAAGAGAAGGTCTGTTTGATTTGAGATATTGAGCCGGCGGAATTCCTCCACAGTTTGAGAATCGCTGCATCAGGGCAGCAGAACGGACGGAGTAGCTTTCCACTGACAAGTTACCTGAGGATCCTAGTTAGCAGGGAAGGTGGCGTTGGCGGTTTACCTGGACAGAATGAGAACTGCGAAGAGGAAACGAAACGTTTTTCAGCTGATGTGCTGACTCATTGAATTTTCTAGCAAAGACGGTTGAATATTGACCTAATTGTAGCGACCGTACCGGTGAAAATGTCAGTTACACGGGGAAATGGAGATCTGGAGGGAAATTCTTTGGCACTGTTGGGCGTGCTAATCTACGCCTTGCTGTCTAGAGAAAAAAAAATTGCAACCAAGAAACGCCCACGTTAATTTTTTTTTTTTTCAGTACTAGAAGATTAATAGATTTAATTCATAAGTTATGTAATTTTAAACTAGCTCATACACAGAAGGCGTAGTGACTGATAAAGCCAGATTTCTTTAACATAATGTGACCAAATATAAAAATGGAAAAGAACACATTACGCGGTGACTGGCGTTAGAGGCATGGGCCACCTGTATGGGGTCTTGTTTGGGGAGGAAAGGGTTGTGTGAATTGTGTATATATGTGCGTCAATATATGTGTATTCTGTCAGCGAGTAGATTTCCTTTGTGACTTGTCCTCACACACAGAAGCTACACACACACACACACACACACACACACACACACAGCTGCACACACTCACACAGCTACACGCATATTGGAACTTGAAACCTAAGTTTTTTGCAGTCTTTACATCACGCAGGTAGGGGTCCGTTAAACGATTAAGATCCGGATAGACCACACAAAGGTTGCATTTAAGATAATGTAACATTTTTTATAATGCTGCAAAGTATCTTTTTTTTACCATAATTATCTCTATTATATTTTATCAATCAGGGGTTCTTTTCTTTAATTCACCCATCAAGGAGACCTGTGATTTTATCTGTTGTATTAGACTTAACTCCCCAAGAAATAGCAGGGATGAAATAAAAGAAAATAACCATCGTCCATTTCTTTGTTTTTCTCCCAATCGTATCGTTGTCTGCTTCTTGCTCTCTTGCCCTCGACCTTTCCCTTTTCCCCACAGAATGGTTTTTAAAGGCGTATAATATCTTTTAAAATGGCCAAAATAATATCACTTCTGTCTGTCTCTTTCTCTCTTATTTCTTTAAATATCCCCCCCCCCCCTTTCCTCCCCCAACCACATTACAGTAATATTAAAATAACCGATGAAACCTTTTTTGTTCCTCAACAGTGGAGATCCAAATTCAGGATGGGGCGGGCCGGGTCAAGGCCAGACGCAGCTGAACGTGGTAACGACAATCTTTCCCGTACACACGACACAGAGTGGCCCATTCACACACAACACACCCGGCTTTGGCAACACTACCATGACAGGTGCATCAGGGCACACACAGCAGCCGCAGGGCCCTTACTCTGGCATGACCCGATCAGGTTATAGCCCACAGGTCATGGGCCCTTACAAGTAAGTCACAGTTGGTGCCAGATCTCTCTCTCTCTCTCTCTCTCTCTCTCTCTCTCTCTCTCTCTCTCTCTCTCTCTCTCTCTCTCTCTCTCTCTCTCTCTTTCTCTCTCTCTCTCTCTCTCTCTCTATTTCTTACTCTTCTGTCCATCTATGTCTGTCACTTTCCTGCTGTCTTTCTATCTACTAGCTTCTGTCTGTTTCTAATTCTGTCTCTTTCTCTCTTCCTGTCTCTTTTTCTCTCACGTGTCTCTCTTTTTCTCGGTGTCTCTCTCTGTCTCTCCTTTATCTGTACATCAAAATTTGATGTCAAAGAAGACACACATTATCTGTATAAAATAGTGTTGAACATTTTGTAGCTTACACCCAGTGTACACCACCAAGACTAATTCAGATTGAATATTTACCCCCGCCCCCCTCCCCCCAATTCTCCCTTTCAGCACTTTTGAGTTATTCTTCATGTCTCCCAATCGGAAGTGATGTCAGCTGCCCAGTTTTCCTCATATTCTCCCCATCAGAACTTTTGTCAAATGTTTAGTCCTCTCATTATCCACTCAGAACTTTTGTCAAATGTTTAGTCCTCTCATTATCCACTCAGAACTTTTGTCAAATGTTTAGTCCTCTCATTATCCACTCAGAACTTTTGTCAGATGTTTAGTCCTCTCATTATCCACTCAGAACTTTGTCAGATGTTTAGTCCTCTCATTATCCACTCAGAACTTTTGTCAAATGTTTAGTCCTCTCATTATCCACTCAGAACTTTGTCAGATGTTTAGTCCTCTCATTATCCACTCAGAACTTTGGTAAAATGTTTAGTCCTCTCATTATCCACTCAGAACTTTGGTAAAATGTTTAGTCCTCTCATTATCCACTCAGAACTTTTGTCAAATGTTTAGTTCTCTCATTATCCACTCAGAACTTGTCAGATGTTTAGTCCTCTCATTATCCACTCAGAACTTTGGTAAAATGTTTAGTTCCTCTCATTATCCACTCAGAACTTTTGTCAGATGTTTAGTCCTCTCATTATCCACTCAGAACTTTTGTCAGATGTTTAGTCCTCTCATTATCCACTCAGAACTTATTTATTATGTTGCCTTGCTCTTAATCTTCCTCTCTGAACTTTCCATAGTTTGAATTTCCCTCCCAATTTTCCCATCTAGGCTTATGTCATATTTTTAGTTTCCCTCCAAATCTCCCTATATAAACGTGTGTAATATTTTCAGCTCCCCATCTCCTTATTGAACTTGTACTATATTTTGAATTTACCTCCAAGTCTCCCAATCTGAACTTAGGTTAAATGAGAACTTGTGTTATATGTTCAGTTTTCATCTCAATATCTGTACCAGAACTTATTTTAGATGTTGAATTTCCCTATCATTCTCCCCATCCGAGCTTATGTCAGATGTTTAGTTTCTCCCATTCTCCCCATCACATTGTTATAGTAAAACTTGTACTATTTTCCTATTCTTCCCATAACAGCTTTTTTCAGATTTTTAGTTTTCCTCAGATTCGGTCTATCAGAATTTACATCAGATGTTTAGTTTTTCTCCCAGTCTCCCATTCCAAATAGCCAAGTTATAAACACTAATATTTGATTTCCTCAGCGGTTATTCACCAGCCCAGAATGCCTCAGGTTCAAATCCATCACAGATGTCCGGAGGTCCTCCCAGTGACTACACTGCACCACCAGGAGCGTTGTCGGCGGCTGCTTATGTAGCTGCTGCAGCAACAGCCACAGCCACAGCTACAGCCACCGCCAGCATGGTGGCCATTCAGGAACAGCAGAATCAGCAGCATATGAATATCAACATGCAGATGAATATGAACAACCAATATGCACCTGGTTTGCAGGTAAGTAAAGTAAAAGACATTTTCCCACACCTTTAGGTGAATTGGACTTATAGGGCTAGATCTGTATTTTATAGACCAGTTGACACTAATTGGGTGATTCAGTCAAAATCATGCCGGCCACCTTTGAGGCTGGATCGACTTATGAGTGAAGGTCACTTGTAAAAAAGTCTGGCTGTGTTAGGAGTTGAACCCATGGCTTTATGATCTGCAGGCGAATGTCTAACCGATACACTTTTGGTCTTCTGGTCAACAGGTTAGCTGTACTTGAAAAGTACAGTAGTTTCCTTTGAATGTATCTAGTATGTGTTCCGAGGCTCCATTGGAGAGTGGGGGTAGATAGACCCCACCCCCAGGGGGACTAGTGAAGTCGGATGTGTGGAGCCATAAGATGCAGATTTCACAGCCTAGCTTTTAAATCACAGTACAACATACCAACTGCACTTCAACAGGCGAACACAGAAGAAAAAAGATCTGAATGTTATTTGTGTTTTTTCTATTGACCATAACATTTTCCCCTACCCCAAACCTATCTCACCTTGGTTTCCTCCCGGCCATTGTATGATGCAGCAACAGGTATGGATGTATTCTGCAACTTTCATGTTCTCATTGATGCTTGTATTTCATTGGGAAGCTAGCTAGTTCTACTGTATGTCACATAAGTTATTATTTTTTAAAACTAAAGAACCCCTTTCGACGCCTTCAGGCATTTTGGGCATATAGGGCTAGACCTATATTTTATAGACCAGTCAGCACTTGGTGGGTGATATAGTTAGCAACAAGCCGCATAAGTTTGCATACATAGACACAAAATGAACTATTATTAACGCCATCACAAGCATAAGTTTGCATACATTGACAAAATAAACTATCACTAATGCTATTACACACGTTTCCATACATAGACAAAATAAACTATCACTAACACCATCACAAGCATAAGTTTCCATACATAGACAAAATAAACTATCACTAATGCCATCACAAGCATAAGTTTCCATATATAGAAAAAGAAACTATTATTAACGCCATCACAAGCATAAGTTTGCATACATTGACAAAATAAACTATCACTAATGCTATTACACACGTTTCCATACATAGACAAAATAAACTATCACTAACACCATCACAAGCATAAGTTTCCATACATAGAAAAAATAAACTATCACTAATGCCATCACAAGCATAAGTTTCCATATATAGACAAAATAAACTATCACTAACGCCATCACAAGCATAACTCGGCTGTGCTTATACTTGTTCTTTGGCAGTGGAGGACACACATAGAAGTGTATTTAGCTATGCATGGAAACTATGTCACACCCCGTACTTCTTCTGTACTTGATGTCTTCAGGATGAAAAGGGGAATTCAGAGAAAAGGAATAATGTACATAAAACTGATTGTTTTCCCTCTCCAGATGCAAACTGGTCAGCACCAGTATGTTGGTCAGTATCCGCCGGGCATGCCCAACCAAAGACATCCAATGCCAATGGGAGGAGGCACATGTCCTGGACCCGGACCAATGAAATCATCTATGTCATCAATGTACCATCGGAGACCTACACCCTATCATAACCCGTACATGCAGAAGAGACAGATGTACCCAAATGGGACACAAATGGATGTAAGTACTGTGAGAGAATCTAGAGCCCTTTGCAGATTTTTGTGTGTCATGTGATATGGCAGGGTGTTTAACTGGCAGCCTGCAGAGACTAGCAAGTGGTCTGCGGATCATTGGCTGTTGTATTTCAAAACTGGAGCTGCGAGCTCTGGCCTGTGACGATCTTCGTTTTCACAGTTTTGGCCCCTGAGTAAACTTACTCGAATAGCCCGCAATATGGCACTGCATTTAGTCCATGTAGTGTGGCCTTTGTTTTCGTCTGTCCCCATGTGGGTTCCGGAGCCCATTTTTGTGGTAAATGAAAGTAGATCCATTGCCCCGTGACAAAAGTATCTTGTAAAATTTGACTAATTGGGGGTATTACCCCAGAGTACATCTGCCTAACAGGCACAGAACCAACAGTCTGCGCACATAAATTGCATGCATAACTCAAATTCTGGAGCAAGACTTAAAGTGGAAAAACAACCAGAACTTTTCCATCAGAGTTTACTGTCGAGGAGAGTGAAGAAGAGGTCTCTGATACTGCGAGGCATTTAATGAGTAGAGAAAAGTTACAGAATAATATATTCAGCGGGGAATAAATAAATGTAATTATATCATCAAATCTGTCAGAATCATTTTTTATTTAGAGATTACATATTCAGAATAAACATAAGAAGGCATGTAAGAAAGGCTGTTTTTCACCCTTATGTTTTTGTCTGTCTGTTGATCATGGTAACAACCTCACTTATGGCCACCCAGCCAGTACAATCAGAAATAAAGGGTAGTAACCATGGAAACAACCTCACTTATGGCCACCCAGCCAGTACAATCAGAAATGAAGGTTAGTAACCATGGAAACAACCTCACTTATTGCCACCCAGCCAGTACAATCAGAAATGAAGGTTAGTTAGTAACCATGGGAACAACCTCACTTATTGCCATCCAGCCAGTACAATCAGAAATGAAGCTTAGTAACCATGGAAACAACCTCACTTATGGCCACCCAGCCAGTACAATCAGAAATGAAGGTTGGTAACCATGGAAATGAGAAAAGGCTGCCAGAGTGACCAAAAGAGATAAAATCAGGACTGAAGTCAGAAAAATCCAGCACAGTGCCAATTCTAAATTGCATACAAAGACAGCAGATTAAATGGTTTGCACATTTGAGGAAGACTTCGTGTGACGCTATACCATACAGACCATACACCAAAAGAAGAGAAGAATGTAGAGAACACAGTATACCAAGAACAAGAAAACATAGAAATTATACAAAAGCACGATGTGTCTGTGGTCGAGGCAGCTAAAGAGCAAGAAGCAGGACCTTATATCCTTGACACCCCAAGAGATAAAAGAGGAAGTGAAGATGAAGGAGATAAACTGTTGAGTTTATTTTAAGTGTACTTTTCAAACAATTATGGTAATTATAGTGTGAAATCTGTCTGTGATAAAATTTACAATGGTCTATGATACCATTATTCTGTCTTGAGATAGATTAAAATCTCATATGTTAACCGTCGTTCTTGTGATCTGCATGATAATCCTTTTCTGTAGCTCTCTTGAGCCATTTATTCCTAGGATGTTTTTTTTTTTTTTCTTCAAGTTACATAGGCTTATTTTACTGTTGTCCCATCTTTCAGCAGTTTGTCTCTGGTGGTCCTAGTCCGCATGGTCCTCCTTACATGGGACCTCATCAGCAGTACCCCGGCAAGCCAGGCTATCCACCTACTCAGCAGCCACTGCCGTCACCCACATATGGCATGCCACAGCCCATGGGAGGTATGCGACCCGGAGGGCCTTCACCATATCCCAATGGTCAGCACCCGTACATGACACAGGGTCAGTATGGACATCCACAGAGGCCTCTAGGACCAGCGCCCAGCTACAGCCCCTACCCAGGACAAACAGTGAGTATTTAGAACTGTATATGTGAATTGCCTGTTGGTTTTCATTTATTAATGGTTTTCAGCAGCTGTCTTCTTTTTGATACTGTATCCAAGAGATTAGGGTTTAATGTGATAATCAAAGCAATGTTTCCCTGATGTGAATTTGATCAAAGAAGACACAAACAATAGACTGCACAATTTATTGCCTGGCATATTTCGCTGTATCTCGTCAGGTGTAGATTTGACAGTATGCACCTGACGAGATACAGCAAAATATGCCAGGCAATAAATTGTGCAGTCTATTGTTTGTGTCTTCTTTGTTCAAATTCACGTGATAAACAAATAAAAGCAACTAGTTACAATATATGAACTTGTCTGTTGTTTATGTCTGCAGGTTTGTAATGTATGGATGTTTCTGCATTTTTTTCCCTGAAGATTTCAAAGCAGGTTTTCTCTGATTTCATGGCTGGATGAGTAAAATTATGACCTTTGTCTTTTGAATAATTTAGACTCCTGTAAATTCTATTTTTATCTCAGAAACTAAACTTTGGCTGAAACAAATGATTTCAAATTTTTTTTTGGTATTAAATATTAGTCAAAGGCCATCTCCATAGTGAAGGTTGGCTACTGCAGTGGCTCTTTATCATTCTCTTCCCTTGTCTTGGTTATACATTCTCTCTTATGCTACAACTGTTTGTCCATCTTTTGATGTTGTGCTCCCACTTGTATCATTGTCTGTCTATTGCTCACTTGTCTTCAACTTTTCCGTCCACTATGGTGTTTAGAAGAGTTGAGCCTTTTAGTGTATTCAGAAAATTTCGTATTTTGCAAGTATTTTCACAAGTTACAGTACCAGTCCACAGATTTAAATAATACAGAGTTTACAGCTGGTGAACTAGAAGAAGAAGAAATAATACCTTTTAAAGGATAAAGAAGGATTTGACATATATTAAGCAAGAATAAAACTTCATGCAACATAATTTCCTAATGCAAAACAAGCCAGAAAGTCAGCCATACAAAAAAAATTCTAAATTGCCTTATGAGGCAGGGAAAGCATATGCAGTGAAGATCATATTGCTGTGGCCAAATAGATTTAGTTTCAGCTTAAATTCCTGTGCTGTTTTGAGCCTGAATTTCAGTGTAATGAAATATAAGGTAAATCTGTGGCACTGTCTTTACGGTGTCATATGTCAGGGTTTTACATATACTGGGTCCTGGGTAATATAGGAAAGTGCCTTGTTACCACCTTTTTAGTTTTCTTGTCAGGAAACTACAGACAATCTACCCAAATTGACTGCAGGACAGTACTGATTAAGAGAAAAAAAAACAACTATGCTGTTCTTTATGTAGAAAGTCCTTTGATTAGCAAAATTGCTTTTTTAAGGTTTTTATGAGTTCCCACAGTTTGGCTTGTAGAACTGCTTTCTGGGGCCAGATTTTTCTTCTTCTTCTTCTGCCATTCTAACCCCCCAATGTAGCATAGGCTCTCAACCAACTCATGCCAAGTCGTAGGCCAGATTACCATTTAAAATCTGGCAGATTCTGGGTCATGTTATAAAATGTGATTTGAAGTTTGCTTTGGTCTTTAATAGAAGCAACTAGCAGACAGAACCTCTGAGATATATTTTATAATGTATAACAATTATGTAGTTTTTTTGTTTTTTTTTCAATTTGCTTGTTAAATGTTTCCTCCCTTGTAAAGTATTTCTTTTCTCTCTCTCTCTTGTTATTAAAATGTATCTCCTGTATCCACAGCACAACAGTTTTCCTCACTCTCCCATCCCTGGCAACCCCACACCGCCCATCACACCTGGGGCAGTACCTGGTTACCCTGGCGACATGAAGCCTGCTTACCCACCAGACATCAAACCTATGATCAAATCATGTGAGTTGCCACTTGTACAGTTTCATTTTTAGATTTGGCAATGTTTTTTAATTTCAAGTGAAGAGACAATAAAAATGTTATATAATTTGGCAAATAAGGTACGAAATATCTGGCTAGCCAACTACAGTGAAACCTTGCTGACACAAATTCAGGAGGACCAAAAAAACTAAAGGTTTGCTTAACAAAAATGTATGCTATATATGTGTCTGCTAGAATCACAATTGTGTTCATTTTAATCTGTTTTTTTTTTTAAAGCAAGCTTTTGTTAATGAGATTTTACTGTATTATATTTTATTTGTTCTTTTCACAAATCTTCTATGAGAACCCCTGTTCTGAACATATCTATAGATGTTGCACTAGGACTTATAACAGGTGGTGCTATGACAAATGACTGTTTGCATGTCTTTCGTCTGTCTGTGGGCCCCCCCCCCCCCCAACCTCCCTCCACACCCCTGCAATTCAAACTCTTTCTTGCCACATCCCCACAGTTAACTGTATGTACATGGTAATTGTCTGCTTGATTAAGATTGTCTGTCACACTGTCTTTCAGCAGCTGCTTGTTCTGAACAGGCACACTGCTACTGTTTTTCACTGTGTTGCAGATCTCTCTTTCTCTTGTTTGTTCACTGCTCCTGCTTCTGTCGTACAAGGTGCAGGCACATCTTTAGTTTCCAAACATCTATTTTGGAAAACCAAAAATGCTTGGTAAATATAATCATTAACCTAAATGTTGAAAGCTTTCTCTGTGTGTTTAAAAAAAAAAAAATACATTTTTATGCTTTTTATGTTAGGTGCATATACTAAGGCACATAGACCAGATTCAGTAAATATTGTACATATTGTCAAATATACAGTGCCGCCATCTGTAACTTTCTTTAACAATGTTTTTTTTTTAAATATATATTATGGGCTGAGCCACAATCTCTTAAACAGTGTTATATGGGCTGAGCCACAATCTCTTAAACAGTGTTATATGGGCTGAGCCACAATCTCTTAAACAGTGTTATATGGGCTGAGCCACAGTCTCTTAAACAGTGTTATATGGGCTGAACCACAGTCTCTTAAACAGTGTTATATTGGCTAAGCCACAATCTCTTAAACAGTGTTATATGGGCTGAGCCACAATCTCTTAAACAGTTTTATATGGGCTGAGCCACAATCTCTTAAACAGTGTTATATGGGCAAAGCCACAGTCTCTTAAACAGTGTTATATTGGCTCAGCAACAGTCTCTTAAACAGTGTTATATGGGCTGAGCCACAATCTCTTAAACAGTGTTATTCTCGCACCGGTGTTTGAACATTACAAGCAACCAGTTTTTTTCTTTCTATATGATATCTTGTGGGAATTGAACCCTGTTACTTGGGGATTGTGAAATTTATGAACTGAAACAGTTGCAACCTCTGAACCACAGAGCTTTCTTTATTTTTTCCCTTCATTTAGTGACCTAGTTTGGGTCAGTTTTTGTCTGTGTCTTCAGCTCCAGTTGAGCTCCTTAAAAAAATACTCTTTATGTATTCAGGTCCAGACGAGCTGAGGTTGACATTTCCTGTGAGGGATGGTATCGTGCTGGCTCCGTTCAGACTGGAGCACAACCTGGCTGTCAGCAATCACGTGTTCCACCTGAGAGACTCTGTCTACAACACTCTCATGTACAGGTTGGTTTGCTTTTAAAATATTTTGATTGCTGCTTCAGCTCATTCAGTGAATGCAGTGAGAAGGATTTTCAAGATTAATGTTTTTAAAAGGCATACATGCTGCTCCAATTTTTTGCTGTCATCTGATAAACTTGTCAAATTCATAGATTTATTTATTTTATATCATCCCATTCATAACTGATAAGTTTTTGTCACATTTTTAAACTGGTTATTCTTTTAGTTAGTAATGCAAAATATAAAATAGCCCTGTTTAAAAACTATCAGAAATGTCCTAATGAAACAATAATTAATTGATTCATTTATACATTATTTGTATAATCAAATTCACAGCTACCCAGTGTTGGTTCTTGAAGCCCCAGTGTGGGTTCTTGAAGCCCCAGTGTGGGTTCTTGAAGCCCCATTGTGGGTTATTGAAGCCCTATTGTGGGTTCTTGAAGCCCTATTGTGGGTTATTGAAGCCCTATTGTGGGTTCTTGAAGCCCCACTGTGGGCTCTTGAAGCCCCACTGTGGGTTCTTGAAGCCCCATTGTGGGTTCTTGAAGCCCCAGTGTGGGTTCTTAAAGCCACAGTGTGGGTTCTTGAAGCCCCATTGTGGGCTCTTGAAGCCCCATTGTGGGTTCTTTAAGCCCCACTGTGGGTTCTTGAAGCCCCAGTGTATGTTCTTGAAGCCCTATTGTGGGTTCTTGAAGCCCCATTGTGGGCCAAACAAAAAGAATAGACCCACTGTTCCCCTAAAATATAATTTGACTTACTAAGGTGATGCCTTTAAAGTTGGAGTGCATCTGCCTAACAGGCAAGGAACCAACAGTTTGCATATAATTAGGCCAGATCTGTAAAATGGATGTGCATGCAAAACTCTTGTTCTGGAACAAGAGGTGACGAACAACCAGGACTTTCTCTGCTAAAGTTCACAGCCTGTGAACACAAAGAATAAAAGAAAAAAGAAATTCACATCTCGTCATTTATCTTATCTAAATGCTTGTAAAATTCACAGATCTGACTTAGAGCTACAGCTGAAATGCTTCCATCATGAGGACCGGCAGATGAGTACCAACTGGCCTGCCTCAGTCACAGTCAGTGTCAATGCCACACCCCTGAATATCGAACGGGGTGACAACAAATCCACCCACAAACCACTATACCTCAAGGACATATGCCAGGCAGGACGCAATACTATACAGATTACAGTCACTGCTTGTTGTTGTGTGAGTAACCTTTCTTTTGTTTATGTATTACATGTGAGGAGTCCTTAATACTTGCTTTTACATTTGTGTGTCTTTAAATAGCTGTTTATGTCATTTCTGTACTTTTATGTGTGAATGACCATTTATAACTTGTCTTTATGTAAATGTGTGCGTGTTATTCATATCATGACTATTGGTGTGTGTGAGTAGCCATTTATAATGTATTTTTTATGTGTGTATGTACCCACTTATATTTTGTGTATATGTTATATCAGATTTATTTTTATCTGTATGGATGCTAATAGAAACCATGTTGTGCCAGATTTTTATCTGATTGTGAGGATGCCGTGAACAATAAAAGATGACATGCTAAACAAGGCAGAGGCAGTTGAAATGGGGGTTTTCAGGAGAATATCACTGTCAGATTGGACATTGGTGGACAGTCAAACTGTAGTCTGCTGGTAATCCAGTATACGTCATTCCTATAAATAAACAGAGGGGGGACCTTTGAGGCCGTTAAATATTATGAATTAATCGAGTAACAGAAAGTGTATTGATCGGCACTCATGGAAAGAAGTAGAAAGATAAAAGATAATGCAGTATGTAGATACCATCGCCAGACTGCTGTCCTGTTCTCCAGCACAGCAGGAGTTTTGCACAACTTGAGTTTTGCATGTATGTCCTTTTTAGAATTCACACCGGAAATTTTCTGTATGTATTTATATTCAAAATAGTTGTATCCATCCTTTTTAACCTTTCTATGTTGTTAAATGTGGGCATATGTTAAATGTTTGTGATACTTTCTTGTTCTCTTTTCCAAATTTTGTGTGACTGTTACCAAGTATGTGCAGTTTTTATCTAAATATATTTTTTCTGTCTTCGCAGTCCCACTTATTTGTTCTCCAACTAGTCCATCGGCCGAGCATACGCTCAGTTCTTCAAGGTTTATTACGTAAACGATTGCTTCCTGCAGAACACTGTATCACTAAAAGTAAGTTTCAAACATTTCTTTCAGGATATCAGAAAACATTAAACTTAATGTTTATTTGGAAATTTATTTGTAGCAATAAATGTTGGGTATCCTTTACAGGACGTTGCAGAACCAACCCCAGCAGCCCCTGACTGTTGTGTGGTTTTTCTAGGCAAATTTACGTCCAGTAGTTTGCCATTGCTTTCTGGATGGTCAGCTTTCTTGATACCACTGTCAAAACCAACGCAAGGCGCATAGCCCGCAGCTGGGATCGATCCCGGCATTACAAAGCATTCGCATCGTCTTAGCCACAGAGTTGACAGCAATAAATGTAGAGATATAATATTTAAAATGAAGCAGCCAGCCTGATGTGGACCATATCACCAACAGATTGGTCTAAAAATATAGTTCTATCACTATATACCCAGCACATCAAAGGGAGTGGAAGGTGGTTTTTTACTTACCTTTTACAGTATCAAAAATTAATAGGTCCCAGGTGGACACAGCTCAAAATGTGTATCAGGTAGTGTCCTGGGAAGTAAAGGACGCCAGCGTGATGTTAATCCTATTACCCATCAGGCTTTATATGGTCATTTAATTACAGTATTTAAAAAAAAAATGTAATAACACTGGAAACCGAAGGAGAACATTATTACAGTCTTGGTGAACATCATCATTAGATGGGTTAGAAGAGCTGGACTGAGTGAACCTTTGTTGGACATCATCATTAGGTGGGTTAGAAGAGCTTGACTGAGTGAACCTTTGTTGGACATCATCATTAGATGGGTTAGAAGAGCTTGAGTGAGTGAACCTTTGTTGGACATCATCATTAAATGGGTTAGAAGAGCTTGACTGAGTGAACCTTTGTTGGACATCATCATTAGGTGGGTTAGAAGAGCTTGACTGAGTGAACCTTTGTTGGACATCATCATTAGGTGGGTTAGAAGAGCTTGACTGAGTGAACCTTTGTTGGACATCATCATTAGGTGGGTTAGAAGAGCTTGAGTGAGTGAACCTTTGTTGGACATCATCATTAAATGGGTTAGAAGAACTTGACTGAGTGAACCTTTGTTGGACATCATCATTAGATGGGTTAGAAGAACTTGACTGAGTGAACCTTTGTTGGACATCATCATTAGATGGGTTAGAAGAGCTTGAGTGAGTGAACCTTTGTTGGACATCATCATTAGATGGGTTAGAAGAGCTTGACTGAGTAAACCTTTGTTGGACATCATCATTAGATGGGTTAGAAGAGCTTGAGTGAGTGAACCTTTGTTGGACATCATCATTAGATGGGTTAGAAGAACTTGAGTGAGTGAACCTTTGTTGGACATCATCATTAGATGGGTTAGAAGAACTTGACTGAGTGAACCTTTGTTGGACATCATCATTAGATGGGTTAGAAGAACTTGAGTGAGTGAACCTTTGTTGGACATCATCATTAGATGGGTTAGAAGAACTTGAGTGAGTGAACCTTTGTTGGACATCATCATTAGGTGGGTTAGAAGAACTTGAGTGAGTGAACCTTTGTTGGACATCATCATTAGATGGGTTAGAAGAACTTGAGTGAGTGAACCTTTGTTGGACATCATCATTAGGTGGGTTAGAAGAACTTGACTGAGTGAACCTTTGTTGGACATCATCATTAGATGGGTTAGAAGAACTTGAGTGAGTGAACCTTTGTTGGACATCATCATTAGATGGGTTAGAAGAGCTTGACTGAGCGAACCTTTGTTGGACATCATCATTAGGTGGGTTAGAAGAGCTTGAGTGAGTGAACCTTTGTTGTACATCATCATTAGATGGGTTAGAAGAACTTGACTGAGTGAACCTTTGTTGGACATCATCATTAGGTGGGTTAGAAGAGCTTGACTGAGCGAAACTTTGTTGGACATCATCATTAGATGGGTTAGAAGAGCTTGACTGAGTAAACCTTTTTTGGACATCATCATTAGATGGGTTAGAAGCGCTTGACTGAGTGAACCTTTGTTGGACATCATCATTAGGTGGGTTAGAAGAGCTTGAGTGAGTGAACCTTTGTTGGACATCATCATTAGATGGGTTAGAAGAACTTGACTGAGTGAACCTTTGTTGGACATCATCATTAGATGGGTTAGAAGAACTTGACTGAGTAAACCTTTGTTGGACATCATCATTAGATGGGTTAGAAGAACTTGGCTGAGTGAACCTTTGTTGGACATCATCATTAGGTGGGTTAGAAGAGCTTGACTGAGCGAACCTTTGTTGGACATCATCATTAGATGGGTTAGAAGAGCTTGAGTGAGTGAACCTTTGTTGTACATCATCATTAGATGGGTTAGAAGAACTTGACTGAGTGAACCTTTGTTGGACATCATCATTAGATGGGTTAGAAGAACTTGACTGAGTGAACCTTTGTTAGACATCATCATTAGGTGGGTTAGAAGAGCTTGACTGAGCGAACCTTTGTTGGACATCATCATTAGGTGGGTTAGAAGAGCTTGACTGAGTGAACCTTTGTTGGACATCATCATTAGGTGGGTTAGAAGAGCTTGACTGAGCGAACCTTTGTTGGACATCATCATTAGGTGGGTTAGAAGAGCTTGAGTGAGTGAACCTTTGTTGGACATCATCATTAGGTGGGTTAGAAGAGCTTGAGTGAGTGAACCTTTGTTGGACATCATCATTAGGTGGGTTAGAAGAACTTGACTGAGTAAACCTTTGTTGGACATCATCATTAGATGGGTTAGAAGAACTTGACTGAGTGAACCTTTGTTGGACATCATCATTAGGTGGGTTAGAAGAGCTTGAGTGAGTGAACCTTGTCGACACACAACACAAAGAGTTGAAAGTAGTCATAGCTGACTGTTCAAGGCTAGATGGCACTAGATACTTCCTTTTCTTCTTTGCGTTCACCGGCTGTAAACTCAAGCAGAAAGTTCTAGTCGTTCAACCACTTCTGGACTTCATTCTGGTTCAAGAACCTGTGTTTTATGTGCACAATACATCCATTTGACATATCTGGCTTATTTGTATGTAGACTGTTGGTTCCTTGCATCTCAGGCAAAAGCACTCAGAATTATTCAGCTTTTATGACATGCATGTTGGGGAGCAGCAGGCCTGTTAAATTTTCCCTAACAGGGCAATGGAACCCACATGGAGAAACATAATTTTCCTCCAACAACAGGGCAATGGAACCCACATGGAGAAAGACTAGATCCCTATGTGGCATTTTGTGTGTGTGGGTAACTTCAAGTGAATGAGAAAGTTATTATTGCTGCAGCAGCTTCAGTTACTATCCCATTCTTGTTGGACTTCTGCACACTTTCATTCTTAGCTAGCATCTAAGGTTTGGAGATAATGAATGCAGTTTCATAGTTCTAGGATCCTGGGTTTGATTCAGCTGCAGACAATTTAGTAGCAGCCTGCTTTATTTTGATTTTGATGAAGGTATGAATGTCGACCATTTAGAAGCAATAGCTGACTGCTGAGTATAAAACCACAAAACTGGGTGACTTAGAGGTTCCTTTAAAAATATGGACGGCGGTCGGACGAGATTATTGCCCTTTATGCAAGTTATTTATTCCGGACAGTTGTTAATTAATATTGGTTATACAGTGTTTTGCTTGTTTTGTTTTTACAGTCAAAAGAAATTTCTCCAATGTTCCCCCGAATAGTGCAGTCAATGGGGATGATGGAGTTGAGCAGACGGCTATAAAAGTTCCGTTAAAATGCCCTATCACGTGCCGAAGGATAACGTTGCCAGCCAGAGGACATGACTGTAAACACATACAGGTAAGTTAGTTTGTTATTTTTTAATGTGACATCGTCACCTTTTTAGCAAAGTCGGACTAAATTTTTAAAATGTTCACAACGCATTTACATCTTCGGATGAGCGCAAAAGAAGAAGAAGAAGACCATGTGATTTCAGAATCGTTATTGGTTAAGACTTGGTTAAGACGCTCAGCTCTCAACTTTTTCTACAATCATTTTTCTTTAATGAAAAAGGTCCTTTTGTTTTGTATGTGTGCGCCTTATGTGCTTTCACATATAAATAATATTGCAGACAGCCTGTTACTAAAAATATTTTTTTTTTAATGTTAATGTCATATCACATTTTTAAAAAAAACATTTCCAAAAGTGACATCTGAACTGTATTTTAGACATTTTATTGCATGCTTGACAGCATTTCTCTAATTGAATGTTTGCTTTCTGTGGTCACAGTGCTTTGATCTGGAGTCCTATTTACAACTGAACTGTGACAAGGGCTTATGGAAATGTCCTGTTTGCAAGTAAGTCTACCGTAACAGATCACAAAAACATCTCATGTGATACGTAACATTTTTCCTTTGGTGCTTGTCCATTGTTCAGTATCACCCCATGTAACATAGCTGAGTTGTGACTGTTTTCATTCTTACAGTTGTAATGTTGGCTGCTGAAGAAAGGGACGGAGCATATATGGGAATATCTTGAGTGCAGTGATGTTAATCCTTGATACATTCATTCATTCTTTCATTCATAGCTCATTTATGTTTTTGGTTATGTATCTGATAAATTAATGTAAGTTCATTTATGCATTTAAAATATGTGCATTATTATATTTTGTATGTTGGGGGGCTTTAAGTGAAAACTTTAGAAGTGTGATAGCAATTGCACCAACCATGCCACTATTAAGGATGCCAAGAATGTTAAGCACATGACATCACAGTGCAGATGGACACCATCATGACGAGCGATGTTCTTTAGAGGACCTGTTGAATGATGGTGATGATGTTTTTGTTTAATTTAATACTTTTAAAAAAAGTATCATCACTTTTAACTTCATTTCTTGCAGTAAATCAGCACTTTTAACTTCATTTCTTGCAGTAAATCAGCACTTTTAACTTCATTTCTTGCAGTAAATCAGCACTTTTAACTTCATTTCTTGCAGTAAATCAGCACTTTTGGAGGGTTTAGAGATTGACCAGTACATCTGGGGAATTTTAACAAACATGACCAATATGCAGTTTGAGGAAGTGACCATCAACCAGACGGCCAGCTGGAAACCTGTTCCAGTGAAATCCCTGGTCAAAGAGGAGGACACTGGTAGGTTTTGCACATTTCATCTTAGCTTAGAAATGTTTGGATGTTCAGGTTATTGAAAGGAATGAGACCTTATTTAAATCTTATTATTCATTAGTACATCTTTGTAATTTGTAGCTTATTCACCCAAAATCTCCTTTTCACATTTTTATTCTATTCAGACAGCAATTGTCAGTTATGATTTGTAACAGTAATTTTGAGCTAGCTGTTTGTTGAGATCAACATATAATTGAACATTTAAAACAGGATTCTAAAATTGAATTGAGGAAACACTGAAAAGGATTAAAGATATGTGTTTTACCTAATCCATTATGTCATAAATGTGAAACTCCGTCCATCTTCCGCAGCCAGCTAATTTGCCTTTCTCGGAGCCTCGCATCTGCCAGAACCTCGTCACTACCCACATGCTAAGAGTGTCACACAAAGCAAAAACTCCATAACTCTAGCGACAATCCCAAAGGATCTCTGGAAAAAAAAATTGCACTTGTAAACATGCCCGATCTTTTAAGTGTGAGGCTTGGCATAACCACTTAGCCATGAAGAACCTCAGTATTTTACTACCCATATGATAGACACATCCGTAGCTGCTCTGTCTCCCCTTCAACAAATACATCAGCATCACGCGGTTAATGATGCCAGTCCTGTGCTGGTTAACAAGACTTCTTGTATGTCCGGTATGCCTGTCGTGTCTGGCTGTGCTGATCTCCCAGTTCTTGCATTCTTAGCATTGATGTGGACATGCCATGCTGATCTTTACTCCCAGTTCTTGCATTCTTAGCATTGATGTGGACATGCCATGCTGATCTTTACTCCCAGTTCTTGCATTCTTAGCATTGATGTGGACATGCCATGCTGATCTTTACTCCCAGTTCTTGCATTCTTAGCATTGATGTGGACATGCCATGCTGATCTTTACTCCCAGTTCTTGCATTCTTAGCATTGATGTGGACATGCCATGCTGATCTTTACTCCCAGTTCTTGCATTCTTAACATTGATGTGGACATGCCATGCTGATCTTTACTCCCAGTTCTTGCATTCTTAGCATTGATGTGGACATGCCATGCTGATCTTTACTCCCAGTTCTTGCATTCTTAGCATTGATGTGGACATGCCATGCTGATCTTTACTCCCAGTTCTTGCATTCTTAGCATTGATGTGGACATGCCATGCTGATCTTTACTCCCAGTTCTTTGCATTCTTAGCATTGATGTGGACATGCCATGCTGATCTTTACTCCCAGTTCTTGCATTCTTAACATTGATGTGGACATGCCATGCTGATCTTTTCTCCCAGTTCTTGCATTCTTAGCATTGATGTGGACATGCCATGCTGATCTTTACTCCCAGTTCTTGCATTCTTAGCATTGATGTGGACATGCCATGCTGATCTTTACTCCCAGTTCTTGCATTCTTAGCATTGATGTGGACATGCCATGCTGATCTTTACTCCCAGTTCTTGCATTCTTAGCATTGATGTGGACATGCCATGCTGATCTTTACTCCCAGTTCTTGCATTCTTAGCATTGATGTGGACATGCCATGCTGATCTTTACTCCCAGTTCTTGCATTCTTAGCATTGATGTGGACATGCCATGCTGATCTTAAAAATGTCTGATCGTCCTAACCCTCTAAAGGCATTAACAGCGTCGGTGGCTATCTGCAACTAAGGCAGAACCAACCAGTTTGCTGTCTCTTCATCACCAGCTTTTTCTTCTTCTTCTGTTGCCTTCTATCCTCAAGTGGAGCATAGGCCCTCAACTAGCTCATGCCAAGTCATACTGTCCTTTGCAATTATTGCATGCAGCTGATCCTGTGTCCTTCCATCTTTGTAACTCACTCACTAGCTCCCTTCTGTATGGGTTTTTTGGTCTGCCTTTATTTCTGTGCCCCGGTGGGTTGCAATGCAAAGACATTCTAGTTATATTTTTCTCATGTTATCTCAACATGAGTCCTATCCAATACCAGTCTTTTCTTTACTTCTTGGTCCACTGGAACCAGCTTAGTTCTGTCCCAGAGTTTAACATTAGTGCTTCTGGCGTACCATTTATGTACTTTTATTCTGTGCAGGCAACAGTTAATGTTTGCCAAATACACATATTTGATGAAACAGTCAGTTTACTTTTGTGGTATAAACATTGTGATGAAGCATTACAAGAAGAATTCTTGGGTTAACAAAAAAACTATTTGGCTTGTCATTCACAGGTGATCCCATGAGCCAAGGTTTGAGGCACCCAGACCCATCTCGGCCACCTAGCATCAACCACATGACACCTCGCCCTTCATCGCAACCTCACCCACAACAAAATGGCAGCCTCAACAACCTCAACCATCCCTCCCCCAACAGCAGCAGTACCAACACCACATCATCCAACAGTACCCCCACCATGTGCAGTAGTATGAACAACATGAATGGGATCATCGGTGGTAGCAACGGCATTAACAGTTCGTTACCTCCAGACTGTCCTTCATTAGATTTCACCTTTGACCCGGCTGCAATAATCAATGGGGATGGCTGTGCTGCAGATGGTCTTGCGGTAAGATACCTGATATGCTAATTTTGTTAAATCCTGAAATATGATTGGATTTATGGATCACCATCATTGGCTGTTAATGATTGTCAGAATGCTTTTACAGGCTTGTACATAGTGACCACACGTCCTGTTTTCACCAGGACAGTCCTGTTGTTTCACTGTGTCCCATCGGTCCCGTTGGTGTTCCAGGAAAATGTCAGTTCTCTTGTTTTACAAAAAAATCTAGGAAAAAGCATGAGAAGAGAACATAGACAGATACTGTTAATGACTGAGATGTATTGATAGGAAGTGTCATTGTAACATGCTTCTTGTTTACAGTGCAGTTAATAGAGCATATTGTTTGTTTGTTTAATTAACCTAGTCTGCTGACCTAGAGAAAAGGGGAGGGGATAAAACTGACTTGCTTCAGTAAGTGCTCTGCCACCAGTACGGATAAGAATTGTCCGCCTGTGTCGCTGTTCGCACGTAACTCTGTAGCTACAGCGACGTTGCTCCATTTACCCTAGAGTGTCCCTCTGGTACCAATTTCCTAGAGGCTGGGTGAACCCCGGGAACTGCCTGGTTTCAAACACTGACCGTGGCTGCAGGGAGTCGCAGGTGGATTTGAAAGCGAGCCTCTTATCGACTGCGCGAACACAGCCCCTTGGATTAGCAAAAGAATGAAGCATATAATGTCATCAGTCACGCAGTTTCATGTAAAACTCATCAGTAGATTTTTTGTGTGGGTTGTTCGCTTCAGGACTTTAGTCTCCCCATGTGGGTTGTCCACTTCTGGACTTTAGTCTCCCCATGTGGGTTGTCTGCTTCAGGACTTTGGACTCCCCATGTGGGTTGTCCACTTCTGGACTTTAGTCTCCCCATGTGGGTTGTCCGCTTCTGGACTTTAGTCTCCCCATGTGGGTTGTCCGCTTCTGGAATTTAGTCTTCCCATGTGGGTTGTCCGCTTCTGGACTTTAGTCTCCCCATGTGGGTTGTCCGCTTCTGGACTTTAGTCTCCCCATGTGGGTTGTCCACTTCTGGACTTTAGTCTCCCTATGTGGGTTGTCCACTTCTGGACTTTGGTCTCCCCATGTGGGTTCTGAGGCTCCATTTTGGGAAAAACAAGAATAGACCCACTGTCTCCTCAACAAGCATGCCATAAGAGTTGACAAATTAGGGGTTTTCTTTGAAGACTGAGTGCATCTGCCTGAGAGGAAAGGAACCATCAGTCTGCATACAAATAACTCAGAACTGTAAAATGGATGTGCACACAGAATACTCAGGTGCTGGAAGAAGTCTTAAGTCCAGAGGTGAATGAACAACCAGAACTTTCCGTAAACGTTTGAAGAGAAAAATATTTTTTATTCCTGCTACGTTTGGTCCAAAACTTGATTCATCGACTCAAACTGTGTTTGTAGCTGGCTAGACTGGCTCAGAACATGCTTTTAGATAAGTGTGTTATGATTGTTGAAAGTATATTCAGTGTCACAGTCTATACCCCTACAACCTTATACAACAAATACATAAGCTATCCGATATTGCACAGCCAGACAACCTTATTAGACATAAATATCCATTGTTGAAATAGAAAAAAAAAGACTATATATCCCGATTATAACTGGAATGGGTCCAAAAGGATGTTATTTACAAAGTCCTTCTTCTTTCGTCTTTGTTTCCCAGCTGTAAGCTTCGGCAGAGAG